TCACACAACCTGCATTCTGGTACAAGAAAACTGGCGAAAGGTGACTGTATCGGCAGGTTTCAGAAATGTTCCTGTAAGGAGAGACACACAGGATGATTGGAGTCAATCAAGGCCTTAATGTCATCGAGATTAAAACAAAAACCTCGACAGTTCCACTGTATCAGAGTGGCCATTTTTATGTAGGTTCAAGAGAACACGGTGGAGAACTCTTCGGTTTACGACCATGCCATTTTTCTTTACTAGATGGAGGTCGATCGACCTCCATGGATCCTGCCCTTGATCGAGTGGGCAGATCACTGTCATCAGAGTGAGAATCCAATGACTAAGGACATGATTAAACGATCGTCCTGCATTTAGGAGCCAAAGAAGGACCCGAGCGGACACCAGAGGCTGGTGCCCAAGGAGGTTGACCCAGGCAGTCACTGGAAGGAATAGTGGGGACAGATATTGGAGTATACGTAGACCTATCAACTCTATTATCCATGGAGGGCAGAAGACCCCTCACATGGCATGAAAATGACTCAGTTGGAGGCATGGAAAGGTCAGTCTGCACTCCCACTGTAGCAGTGGAGCGTATTGCAGTGGCATATGTCCAAGATGGAGTAGGAAACAATAGCTTCCGAGCCTCTGGATAAGAAATGTTGTGAACAGTCTTCAAATGCTGTACCTCTTTCTCCTCCACCCACTTAGGGCAAGGTCTAAGGTAAGAGGGATGGGAACTGCTACAATTAACACAGTGAAGGTCCAATTTACATTTGTAGGCATCGTGGTCCTTGCCACCATAACGAGCACACGTCACAGAACCACGACAAGATGACTGAACCGCTGGCACTGAAAACATCGGAGAGGGTTGGGAATATAGAGCCATACCTTACAGTTCAAATAACCCGCCTTAACAGTGTCAGGTGGATGTGGTGATGAAAACGTCAAAATAAGAACTGAGGTCGGCACCATAATCCTATCTTGACGAGTGGAGATCCTTAGAACTGCTGAAACTCCTTGGCTGGAGAAACCAGCAGGGATCTCTGACTCGGGATAGACTTCAAGTCTCTCTCCACAATAACTCCTCATGAGGAATTCGAGGAAGCGTGGGGAGTAATCTCAGTGAGTATATCCCCAATGGCCTTTGAATTCAATAGGAGTTCACTGTGCTTAGCTGTGGATGTTTCAACCAAGATGTCTCCAGGACGGAGCTTCTTAACTGACTCTGGAGAGCGAGCAAGCCCCTCTAAACCCATTGAATAAAAAAGGGAGACATTTGCCCTAAAGATTTATCGGACAGTGAATGCAAGATCAGGAAGCAAGGTACAGGTGTACTTTGTGATGGAGACTGCTGTTCAGTCTTCTAGGCGTGGTTGTTTACCGATTAGCAGAGTTTTAACATTTTTTTAATTTGGATTGGGGGGATCC